TCCCAGTCTATCCCAGTCTAAACCAGTATAACCAGTGTAACCAGTTGTGGTGCAGGCGGTGGCCGTGGGGCGCCGGGGGCTGCTGGTTCTGGTGCGGAGGGGTCTGCGGGCTCTGTCCTGGCACTCCCTGGTGCTGCCCAGTCTATCCCAGTCTATCCCAGTCTATCCCAGTCTATCCCAGTCTAAACCAGTATAACCAGTGTAACCAGTTGTGGTGCAGGCGGTGGCCGTGGGGCGCCGGGGGCTGCTGGTTCTGGTGCGGAGGGGTCTGCGGGCTCTGTCCTGGCACTCCCTGGTGCTGCCCAGTCTATCCCAGTCTATCCCAGTCTATCCCAGTCTATCCCAGTCTAACCAGTCATAACCAGTGTAACCAGTTGTGGTGCAGGCGGTGGCCGTGGGGCGCCGGGGGCTGCTGGTTCTGGTGCGGAGGGGTCTGCGGGCTCTGTCCTGGCACTCCCTGGTGCTGCCCAGTCTATCCCAGTCTATCCCAGTCTATCCCAGTCTATCCCAGTCTATCCCAGTATAACCAGTGTAACCAGTTGTGGTGCAGGCGGTGGCCGTGGGGCGCCGGGGGCTGCTGGTTCTGGTGCGGAGGGGTCTGCGGGCTCTGTCCTGGCACTCCCTGGTGCTGCCCAGTCTATCCCAGTCTATCCCAGTCTATCCCAGTCTATCCCAGTCTATCCCAGTCTAAACCAGTCTAACCAGTGTAACCAGTTGTGGTGCAGGCGGTGGCCGTGGGGCGCCGGGGGCTGCTGGTTCTGGTGCGGAGGGGTCTGCGGGCTCTGTCCTGGCACTCCCTGGTGCTGCCCAGTCTATCCCAGTCTATCCCAGTCTATCCCAGTCTATCCCAGTCTATCCCAGTCTAAACCAGTATAACCAGTGTAACCAGTTGTGGTGCAGGCGGTGGCCGTGGGGCGCCGGGGGCTGCTGGTTCTGGTGCGGAGGGGTCTGCGGGCTCTGTCCTGGCACTCCCTGGTGCTGCCCAGTCTATCCCAGTCTATCCCAGTCTAAACCAGTATAACCAGTGTAACCAGTTGTGGTGCAGGCGGTGGCCGTGGGGCGCCGGGGGCTGCTGGTTCTGGTGCGGAGGGGTCTGCGGGCTCTGTCCTGGCACTCCCTGGTGCTGCCCAGTCTATCCCAGTCTATCCCAGTCTATCCCAGTCTATCCCAGTCTATCCCAGTATATCCCAGTATAACCAGTGTAACCAGTTGTGGTGCAGGCGGTGGCCGTGGGGCGCCGGGGGCTGCTGGTTCTGGTGCGGAGGGGTCTGCGGGCTCTGTCCTGGCACTCCCTGGTGCTGCCCAGTCTATCCCAGTCTATCCCAGTCTATCCCAGTCTATCCCAGTCTAAACCAGTCTAACCAGTGTAACCAGTTGTGGTGCAGGCGGTGGCCGTGGGGCGCCGGGGGCTGCTGGTTCTGGTGCAGGAGGGGTCTGCGGGCTCTGTCCTGGCACTCCCTGGTGCTGCCCAGTCTATCCCAGTCTATCCCAGTCTATCCCAGTCTATCCCAGTCTAAGCCAGTATAACCAGTGTAACCAGTTGTGGTGCAGGCGGTGGCCGTGGGGCGCCGGGGGCTGCTGGTTCTGGTGCTGAGGAGGGTCTGCGGGGCTCTGTCCTGGCACTCCCTGGTGCTGCCCAGTCTATCCCAGTCTATCCCAGTTCCCAGTCTATCCCAGTCTATCCCAGTATAACCAGTATAACCAGTGTAACCAGTTGTGGTGCAGGCGGTGGCCGTGGGGCGCCGGGGGCTGCTGGTTCTGGTGAGGAGGGGTCTGCGGGCTCTGTCCTGGCACTCCCTGGTGCTGCCCAGTCTATCCCAGTCTATCCCAGTCTATCCCAGTCTATCCCAGTCTAAACCAGTATAACCAGTGTAACCAGTTGTGGTGCAGGCGGTGGCCGTGGGGCGCCGGGGGCTGCTGGTTCTGGTGCGGAGGGGTCTGCGGGCTCTGTCCTGGCACTCCCTGGTGCTGCCCAGTCTATCCCAGTCTATCCCAGTCTATCCCAGTCTATCCCAGTCTAAACCAGTCTATCCCAGTCTAACCAGTGTAACCAGTTGTGGTGCAGGCGGTGGCCGTGGGGCGCCGGGGGCTGCTGGTTCTGGTGCGGAGGGGTCTGCGGGCTCTGTCCTGGCACTCCCTGGTGCTGCCCAGTCTATCCCAGTCTATCCCAGTCTATCCCAGTATAACCAGTCTAACCAGTGTAACCAGTTGTGGTGCAGGCGGTGGCCGTGGGGCGCCGGGGGCTGCTGGTTCTGGTGCGGAGGGGTCTGCGGGCTCTGTCCTGGCACTCCCTGGTGCTGCCCAGTCTATCCCAGTCTATCCCAGTCTATCCCAGTCTATCCCAGTACCCAGTATAACCAGTGTAACCAGTTGTGGTGCAGGCGGTGGCCGTGGGGCGCCGGGGCTGCTGGTTCTGGTGCGGAGGGGTCTGCGGGCTCTGTCCTGGCACTCCTGGTGCTGCCCAGTCTATCCCAGTCTATCCTAGTCTATCCCAGTCTATCCCAGTCTATCCCAGTATAACCAGTGTAACCAGTTGTGGTGCAGGCGGTGGCCGTGGGCGCCGGGGGCTGCTGGTTTTGGTGCGGAGGGGTTCATGGGCTCTGGGTCCTGGCACTCCTGGTGCTGCCGCTCGACTGCCGCCGCGGCGTCCTCGGCACCCGCCGCTATTTCTTCGCCGACGACGCCCGCAAGGTCTGGGGGGCCATCAGCAGTAGACCCTCGCGAGGGGTCTGGGGGCCATCAGGGTGGGGACCCCCGTGGGGTCTGGGGGCCATCAGCAGTGGGGGACCCCCGTGGGGGTCTGGGGCCATCAGGGTGGGGACCCCGCCTAGAGGGTCTGGGTAGAGGTGGGGACCCTCCCGTGGGGTCTGGGGGAGGTGGGGACCCCCATGAGGTCTGGGGGCCATCAAAGGTGGAGGGCTCCATCAGAGGTGGGGACCCCTCAGGGGGTCTGGGGAGGTGGGGACCCCATGAGGTCTGGGGGCCATCAAGGTGGGGACCCCCTGCAGGGTCTGGGGAGGTGGGGACCCCTCCCGTAGAGGTCTGGGGGACCATCAAAGGTGGGGACCCCCATGAGGGGTCTGAGGGCCATCAGAGTGAGGACCCCCCACACATTCTGGGGAGCCATCAGAGGTGGGGACCCCCTCAGGGGTCTGGGGAGGTGGGGACCCCCACGCAGGGTCTGGGGGCCATCAAAGGTGGGGACCCCCGCGATTTCTGGGGCCATCAGCGGTGGGGACCCCCACGGGGTCTGGGGGGAGGTGGGGACCCTCCCCAGGGTCTGGGGGACCATCAAAGGGTGGGGACCCTCCCCCAAGCCGTGGGACCCCCAAATGACACCTGGGACCCCAAATAACCCCCCCAATGACCTCCCCTGAGCCATGGGACCTAGAACGACCTCGTGGGACCCCCAAATGACCCTTGGGACCCCCCAAATGACCCCTGGGACCCCAAATAACACCCCCACTGACCCCGAGCCGTGGGACCCCCAAATGTCCCGTGAACCCCCCGAGCCATGGGACCCCAAAATGATCCGTGGGACCCAAACAACCCCCAATGACCCCTAAATGTCCTGTGGACCCCCAGATGACCCTCCGTGGGACCCCCAAATGTCCTGTGGTGACTCCCCTAAATGATCCTGTGGAACCCCAAATAGCCCCCCCAATGACCCCCCAAATGACCCTGTGGGACCCTTCAAATGACCCGTAGGACCCCGAATGACCCCCAAATGTCCCGTGGGACCCCCAAATGACCCCCATGTGCCCCCAGGTTCGTGGGAGGTGGTCTTCCTTACTACCCTCGGACGGGGCCCTTTGGGGATCCTGTGCCCCCTGCCCCTGACCCCCAAATGACCCTCAAATGACCCCCCAATGACCCCCAAATGTCCCGTGGGACCCCCAGATGACCTGTGGGACCCCCAAATGACCCCCTGTGCCCCCAGGTTCGTGGGGGTGAGTCTCCTGTACTACCCCTCGGACGGGGCCCTTTGGGGATCCCCTTGACCCTGACCCCCCAAATGACCCGTGGGACCCCCAATGACCCCAAATGACCCGTGGGAACCCCCTGAGCAAGTGGGACCTCCGAAATGACCCCCTGTGCCCCCAGGTTCGTGGGGGTGAGTCTCCTGTACTACCCCTCGGACGGCGCCCGTCCGGGCCGATCCCGAACTCCAGGCCTGGGTGGGGAGATTTTCCAGAGGGGCTTCCTGGGAAGGAAACGCTCAGGTGGGAATTTTTGGGGGTGGGGGTTGTGGCCCTTGGGGAGGCCACTGGGGGTACAGTTGGGCAGGGTTGTGACCTCCTGGGGGTCACTGGGGGGTTGGGACCCCCTGGGTGGGGGAGATTTTCCAGAGGGGCTTCCTGGGAAGGAAACGCTCAGGTGGGAATTCTGGGGGGCTTTGAGGGGCAGCACAGGGGGTCCCAGGGGTTGTGTGATCCCTCGGGGGCAAGAGGTTGGGACTCCCCGGGTGGGGGAGATTTTCCAGAGGGGCTTCCTGGAAGGAAACGCTCAGGGGGAATTTGGGGGGTTGGGGCACAGGGGGTCCCAGGGGGTTGTGACCCCTTGGGGGCTCAGGGTGGGCACAGGGGGTTTTGACCCTCGAGAGTCACAAAGCTGGGGACTGTGACCCTCAGGGGGCTAGGACCCTTTGGGGGCACAGGATGAGCACGGGGGTTTTGACCCCTCAGGGGGGCTAGACCCCTCGGGGGTTGTGACCCCCTCAGGGGTTGTGACCCCTCAAGGGTGGGCAGACCTCAGGGAGGGTGGATTTGGGGGAGGGTCTGACCCCCTGCGACCTCCCCAAATCCCCCAGGGGTCCCGCCTCCCAGCTGAGCTCCGTGCGGGTCTCGTCACCATCCGTCACCACCGTCATCTACACCTGCTCCTGCCCACCACGCGGCCACCAACAGCGGACAGGTGAGACCCCTGGGACCCCCTGGGACCCCTGGGACCCCCAAATCCCCCTGACCCCCTGAGCCCCTCCAAACCCCTGCCCCCAAACCCCCCCCACCTGCTCTGCCCACCACGCGGCCACCAACAGCGGACAGGTGAGACCCTGGGACCCTGACTCCTGGGACCCCCGTGACCACTGACCCCCTGGGACCATTGACCCCCTGACCTCCCCAAACCCCCTGAGACCCCCCAAACCCCCCACCTGCTCTGGGCTCCACCACGCGCCACTGCAACAGCGGCCAGGTGAGACCCCGGGACCCCCTGACTCCCTGGGACCCCTGGGACCCCCTGGGACCACCTGACCCCCCTGGGACCACTGACCTCCCCCGACCCCCTGAGCCCCCAAACCTCCCCTGACCCCCCCACCTGCTCCGCCCACCACGCGGCCACCAACAGCGGCCAGGTGAGACCCCCGGGACCCCTGACCCCCTGGGACCCCTGACCCCCTGGGACCACCCTGACCCCCTCGGACCCCCCGACCCCCTGCAACCACAGACCCCCTAAACCCCTCCCCAAACCCCCCACCTGCTCTGCCCACCACGCGGCCACCAACAGCGGGCAGGTGAGACCCCGGGACCCCCTGACCCCCTGGGACCCCCAGACCCCCTGACCTCCAACCCCTGAGCCCCTCCAAACCCCCTCCCCCAAACCCCCCCCACCTGCTCTGCCCACCACGCGGCCACCAACAGCGGCCAGGTGAGACCCCCGGACCCCTGACCCCCTGGGACCCCCAACCTCCTCTGGACCCCCTGACTCCCTCAAACCCCCTTCCTGACCCCCCAAACCTCCCTAAACCCCCCACCTGCTTCGCCCACCACGCGGCCACCAACAGCGGCCAGGTGAGACCCCTGGACCCCCAAACCTCCCCTGGGACCCCCTGACCCTCCTGGGACCCCCCAGACCCCTCTGGGACCCCCAACCTCCCTGACCCCTGACCCCAAACCCACCCACCTGCTGCGCCCACCACGCAGCCACCAACAGCGGGCAGGTGAGACCTCTGACCCCTCAAACCCCCTGACCCCCTGGGACCCCCAAACCCCCACAGTGACCACACTGACTCCCAAACCCCCTGAGACCCCCATGGGACCCCCAAATCCCCTCTGGGACCACTGACACCCTCTGGGACCCCTGACTCACTCCCGGACCCCTACAGTGACCCCTGACCCTTAGGGACCCCCAAATCCCTGGGCCTGTTTTGGCGGGGGGGTCAGTGGGGTTTGGGGGCCTCAGGGGATTTGGGGGTCTCTGGGTGGTCAGTGGGGTTTGGGGGTCTCTGGGGGCTCAGGGGGTTTGGGGGTCTCTGGGGGTCAGTGGGGTTTGGGGGTCTCTGGGGGTCAGTGGGGTTTGGGGGGGTCTCTGTGGGGTCAGTGGGGTCTCTGGGGTGCCAGTGGTTTCTGGGGTCTCTGGGGTTTCAGTGGGGCTTGGGGGCCAGTGGGGCTTTGGGGGTCAGTGGGGTTTGGGGGTCTCTGGGGCTCCAGGGGTTTGGGTGGTCCCTGGGGTCAGTGTGATTTGGGGAGCTAGGGGTTTGGGGGTCTCCTGGGAGGGTCAGGGGCCTTGGGGTCAGTGGGTTTGGGGGTCTCTGGGGGTCAGGGGTTTGAGGGGTCATTGTGGTTTGGGGGAGTCTCTGGGGGTCAGTGGGGTTTGGGGGTCAGTGGGTTTGGGGGTCCCTGGGGTCTTGGGGGTCTCTGGGGGCTCAGGGGCTTTGGGGGGTCAGTGGGTTCTGGGGGCTCTCTGGGGGTCAGTGGGCTTGGGGGTCAGTGGGTTTGGGGGTTCTTGGGAGGTCAGGGGTCTCTGGGAGGGTCAGTGGGGTTTGGGGGTCAGTGGGGTCTGGGAGGGTCTCTGGGGGTCAGTGGGTTTGGGGGGCTCAGTGGGGGGTCAGTGTGGTTTGGGGGCTCAGGGGCTTGGGGGGTCAGCGTGGTTTGAGGGGCTCTCTGGGATGGTCAGTGTGTTTTGGGGTGTCCCTAACGGGGTCTCTCCTGCTTTTGGGGGTCAGCTCGAGCCTCGGCCTTCCCCCCAACGCCCCGCGGCCATGAGGGAGCCCCCGCTCCAAGGACCCCTGACCGAGAGGGACTTCCTGGCGGCCCTGCCGGCCATGAACACCACGGCCACCACCCTGGGGTGCTCTGGGTGCTGCGCAACGAGCCCCTCGACATGGTGAGACCCCCAAACCCTCCTGGGACCCCCAAACCTCCCTGACCCCACAGCACCCACCCCTGACCCCCAAAACACCCACCCTGACCCCCACGGCCACCTCACCCTGGGGGTGCTGTGGGTGCTGCGCAACGAGCCCCTCGACATGGTGAGACCCCGGGACCCCCAAACCTCCCTGAGACCCCGAACCTCCCTGACCCCACAGCACCCACCCTGACCCCAAAACACCCACCCTGACCCCCCACGGCCACCACCCTGGGGTGCTGTGGAATGCTGCGCAACGAGCCCCTCGACATGGTGAGACCCCGAGACCCCTGAGACCCCCAAACCTCCCCTGAGACCCCTGAGACCCCTGAACACCTCCCTGGACCCCCTGACCCCAAAACACCCACCCCCAACCCCCAAAACACCCACCCCCAACCCCCCACGGCCACCACCCTGGGGTGCTGTGGTGCTGCGCAACGAGCCCCTCGACATGGTGAGACCCCTGAGACCCCCTCTGGGACCCCCAAACCTCCCTGACCCCTCTGACCCCACAGCACCCACCCCTGACCTCCCACGGCCACCACCCTGGGGGTGCTGTGGGTGCTGCGCACCCAGCCCTCGACATGGTGAGACCCTGAGACCCCAAACCCCCCTGAGACCCCCTGAGACCCTGAACCTCCCTGACCCCCAAAACACCCACCCCCGACCCCCTCACGGCCACCACCTGGGAGTGCTGTAGGTGCTGCAACCTGAGCCCCTCGACATGGTGAGACCCCAAACCCCCTGAGACCCCCAAACCACCCTGACCCCCCTGACCCCAAAACACCCACCCCCAACTCCCCACGGCCACCACCCTGGGGTCCTGTGGCAGGTGCTGCAACGAGCCCCTCGACATGGTGAGACCCCTGAGACCCCTGAACCTCCCTGGGACCCCAAACCTCCCCTGGGACCCCGAACCTCCCTGACCCCAAAACAACCCCCTCTGACCCCCCACGGCCACCACCCTGGGGTCCTGTGAGTGCTGCGCTTGAGCCCCTCGACATGGTGAGACCCGAGACCCCTGAACCTCCCCTGGGACCCCGAACCTCCCTGACCCCTGACCCCAAACACCCACCCCCAACCCCCAAAACACCCCACCCCAACCTCCCACGGCCACCACCCTGGGGGTGCTGGAGTGCTGCGCAACGAGCCCCTCGACATGGGAGACCCCCAAACCCCCGAACCTCCCCTGAGACCCCAAACCTCACCTGGGACCCCTGACCCCAAACACCCACCCCTGACCCACAGCACCCACCCTGACCCCTGTAAGACCCCACAGCGCCCACCCCACGTGGTGAGACCCTGGGACCCCCAGGGCTCGAGCCCAATAAACCCCCCTGACCCCAATAATCCCCCAACCCCAATAACCACCCCCTGACCCCAATGATCTCCCCCGACCCCAGTAATCCCCTGGACCCCCTGACCCCATATCTGACCCCACTGATCCCATATCTGACCCCAATAAACCCCCCGACCCCAATAACCCCCAGCCCCAATAACCACTCCCCTGACCCCAATAACCCCCATATCTGACCCCAATGATCTCCCCCCAACCCCAATAACCTTCTCTGACCCCAATAATCCCCCAGACTCCAATGACCCCATATCTGACCCCCTGACCCCATATCTGACCCCCCTGACCCCATATCTGACCCCAATAACTCCCTGACCCCAATGGTGTCCCCTCCTGACCCCACTGACCCCATATCTGACCCCAATAACCCCCAACCCCAATAACCTCCTCCTGACCCCAATGACCCCATATTTGACCCATAAGCCCCCAACCCCAAATCTGACCCCATAAACCCCCTGACCCTATAACTGACCCCAAAAACCCCAAATCTGACCCCAAAAATCCCCCAGCGCCCCTGGGTCACTCCCCGAGCGTCACTTTCCCCATATCCCACATCTCAATGACCCCATATCTGACCCCATAACCCCTGACCCCATAACCCCCTGACCCTATAACTGACCTCCAAATCTGACCCCATAACCCTGACCCCATAACTGACCCTATAACTGACCCCAAATCTGACCCCATAACCCCCCTGACCCCATAACTGACCCTATAACTGACCCCAAATCTGACCCCAAAATCCCCCAGCGCCCCTGGGTCACTACCCCGAGCGTCACTGCCCCCATATCCCACTGACCCCACTGACCCCAAATCTGACCCCATAACTGACCCCATAACCCCCCTGACCCTATAACTGACCCCATAACTGACCCCAAAAACCCCAAATGTGACCCCAAAAACCCCAAATCTGACCCCAAAATCCCCAGCGCCCCTGGGTCACTACTCCCGAGCGTCATTGCCCCCATATCCCAATGACCCCATGACCCCATGACTCCCTATAACTGACCCCAAAAACCCCAAATCTGACCCCAAAAATCCCCCCCAGCGCCCCCTGGGTCACTACCCCGAGCGTCACTGCCCCCATATCCCAATGACCCCCCTGACCCAAATCTGACCCCATAACCCCTGACCCCAAATCTGACCCCTGACCCCATAACTGACCCTATAACCCCCAGCGCCCCTGGGTCACTCCCCTGAGCGTCACTGCCCCCATATCCCAATGACCCCACTGACCCCAATGACCCCATAACTGACCCCATAACCCCTCTGACCCTATAACTGACCCCATAACTGACCCCAAAAACCCCAAATCTGACCCCAAAAATCCCCCCCAGCGCCCCCTGGGTCACTCCCCCGAGCGTCACTGCCCCCATATCCCAATGACCCCACTGACCCCAAATCTGACCCCATAACCCCCCTGACCCTATAACTGACCCTATAACTGACCCTATAACTGACCCCATAACTGACCCCATAACTGACCCCATAACCCCCCTGACCCTATAACTGACCCCCAAAATCCCCCAGCACCCCTGGGTCACTACCCGAGTGTCACTGCCCCCATAATCCCCTGACCCTATAACTGACCCCATAACTGACCCCATAACTGACCCCAAATCTGACCCTATAACTGACCCTATAACCCCCAGCGCCCTGGGTCACTACCCCGAGCATCACTGCCCTCATATCCCAATGACCCCACTGACCCCACTGACCCCATAACTGACCCCAAATCTGACCCCATAACCCCCCTGACCCCAATAATCTGACCCCAAAAATCCCCCAGCGCCCTGGGTCACTACCCCGAGCGTCACTGCCCCCATATCCCAATGACCCTGACCCAAATCTGACCCCATAACCCCTGACCCCCTAACTGACCCCATAACCCCAAATCTGACCCCAAAATCCCCCAGCACCCCTGGGTCACTCCCCGAGCTGTCACTGCCCCCTTATCCCACATCCCAATGACCCCACTGACCCCATAACTGACCCCATAACCCCCCTGACCCCATAACTGCCCCAAACCCCAAATCTGACTCCAAAACCCTGAGCGCCCCTAGGTCACTACTCCGACGTCACTGCCCCCATATCCCACTGACCCCTGACCCCAAATCTGACCCTATAACTGACCCTAAAAACCCCATAATCTGACCCTAAAACTGACCCTAAACTCTAGCGCCCCTGGCTCACTACCCCGAGCGTCACTGCCCCCATATCCCAATGACCCCACTGATCCCACTGACCCCATAACCCTGACCCTATAACTGACCTCCCATAACTGACCCTAATAACTCCAAATCTGACCCCAATAATCCCTCTAGCGCCCTGGGTCACTACCCGAAAGCCACTGCCCCTATATACCCAATGACCCTATATCTGACCCCCATAACCCCTGACCCCATAACTGACCCCAAACTGACCCCAAATCTGACCCTAAAATCCCCCAGCGCCCCTGGGTCACTCCCCAGCGTCACTGCCCCCATATCCCAATGACCCCACTGACCCCAAATCTGACCCCATAACCCCCCTGACCCTATATCTGACCCCATAACTGACCCTATAACTGACCCCATAACTGACCCTATAACTGACCCCAAAAACCCCAAATCTGACCCCATAACCCCCCCAGCACCCCTGGGTCACTACCCCGAGCGTCACTGCCCCCATATCCCAATGACCCCCCTGACCCCAAATCTGACCCCATAACCCCCCTGACCCCAAATCTGACCCCCCTGACCCTATAACTGACCTTCTAACTGACCCTATAACCCCCCCAGCGCCCCCTGGGTCACTACCCCGAGCGTCACTTCACGGAGGGGCCCCCCCGGCGCCTCATCCGGCGCTTCCGGCGCCGCCTGCGCCGAATTTCCCGGGAGATCCGAGCCCGGAACGCGGCGCTGGAGCGGCCCTACCCCTACCTGGACCCCCCCAACATCGAGAACAGCGTCGCCATCTGAGGGGAGACCCCAAAAAATACCCCAAAAACCCCCAAAAACCCCTACCTGGACCCCCCCAACATCGAGAACAGCGTCGCCATCTGAGGGGGGACCCCGAAAAATACCCCAAAATACCCCAAAAATACCCCAAAAACCACCCCAAAATACCCAAAAACCACCCCAAAAACCCCCCAACATCGAGAACAGCGTCGCCATCTGAGGGGAGACCCCGAAAATACCCCAAAATACCCAAAAAAACCCCTACCTGGACCCCCCCAACATCGAGAACAGCGTCGCCATCTGAGGGGACCCCAAAAATACCCCAAAATACCCCAAAAACCACCCCAAAATACCCCAAAAACCACCCCAACATCGAGAACAGCGTCGCCATCTGAGGAGACCCGAAAATACCCCAAAATACCCAAAAAACCCCTACCTGGACCCCCAAACTATCGAGAACAGCGTCGCCATCTGAGGGGGAACCCCAAAAATACCCCAAAATACCCCAAAAACCCCTACCTGGACCCCCCCAACATCGAGAACAGCGTCGCCATCTGAGGGGGACCCAAAATACCCCAAAATACCCCAAAACCCACCCCAAAACACCCAAAAAAACCCCATAAACCACCTCAAAACCCACCAAAACCCCCCAAAAAAAACCCCCAAAAACCACCCCAAAAACCCCCCCAACATCGAGAACAGCGTCGCCATCTGAGGGGAGACCCCCAAAAACCACCCCAAAATACCCCAAAAACCACCCCAAAAATCATCCCAAAACCACCCCATCATCGAGAACATCGTCGCCATCTGAGGGGAGACCCCGAAAACACCCCAAAATACCCCAAAAACCACCCCAAAATACCCAAAATACCCAAAAAACCCCTACCTGGACCCCCAACATCGAGAACAGCTGCCGCCATCTGAGGGAGACCCCAAAAATACCCTAAAATACCCCAAAAACCCCTACCTGGACCCCCCCAACATCGAGAACAGCGTCGCCATCTGAGGGGAGACCCCAAAAAATACCCCAAAAACCACAAAAATACCCAAAATACCCAAAAAAACCCGCAAAAAAACCCCAAAAAACCACAAAAACACCCCGAAAAACCCCCCAAAAACCCCTACCTGGACCCCCCCAACATCGAGAACAGCGTCGCCATCTGAGGGGGGACCCCGAAAATACCCCAAAATACCCCAAAACCCACCCCAAAACACCCAAAAAAACCCCATAAACCACCTCAAAACCCACCAAACCCCCCCAAAAAAACCCCAAAAACCACCCCAAAAACCCCTACCTGGACCCCCCCAACATCGAGAACAGCGTCGCCATCTGAGGGGGGACCCAGAAAATACCCCAAAAACCACAAAAATACCCCAAATACCCAAAAAAAACCGCAAAAAAAACCCCCAAACCCCCCAAAACACCCCGAAAAACCCCCCAAAAAACCCCTACCTGGACCCCCCCAACATCGAGAACAGCGTCACCATCTGAGGGGAGACCCCAAAAATACCCCAAAATACCCCAAAAACCCCTACCTGGACCCCCCCAACATCAAGAACAGCGTCGCCGTCTGAGGGGGGACCCCAAAATCACCCCAAAATACCCCAAAAACACCCCAAAATATCCAAAAAAACCCCATAAACCACCTCAAAACCCACCAAAACCCCCCAAAAAAACCCCAAAAACCACCCCAAAAACCCCTACCTGGACCCCCCCAACATCGAGAACAGCGTCGCCATCTGAGGGGAGACCCCGAAAATACCCCAAAAAACCCCAAAAACCCCAAAAAACCATCCCAAAATACCCCAAAACCCCCCCCAACATTGAGAACAGCGTCGCCATCTTAGGGGAGACCCCAAAAAATACCCCAAAACCCCCAAAAACCCCTACCTGGACCCCCCCAACATCGAGAACAGCGTCGCCATCTGAGGGGAGACCCCAAAAAATACCCCAAAATACCCCAAAATACCCCAAAAACCACCCCAAAATCCCCAAAATACCCAAAAAACCCCTACCTGGACCCCCCCAACATCGAGAACAGCGTCGCCATCTGAGGGGAGACCCCAAAAATACCCCAAAATACCCCAAAATACCCCAAAATACCCAAAAACCCCTACCTGGACCCCCCCAACATCGAGAACAGCGTCGCCATCTGAGGGGAGACCCCAAAAAATACCCCAAAATACCCCAAAAACCCCTACCTGGACCCCCCCAACATCGAGAACAGCATCGCCATCTGAGGGGAGACCCCAAAAATACCCCAAAATACCCCAAAATACCCAAAAACCCCTACCTGGACCCCCCCAACATCGAGAACAGCTGCTAAGCCATCTGAGGGGGACCCAAAAAATACCCCAAAATACCCCAAAAACCACCCCAAAAACCCCCCCAACATCGAGAACAGCGTCGCCATCTGAGGGGAGACCCCAAAAAATACCCCAAAATACCCAAAAAATACCCAAAATACCCAAAAAAAACCCATAAACCACCTCAAAACCCACCAAAACCCCCCAAAAAAACCCCAAAAACCACCCCAAAAACCCCTACCTGGACCCCCCCAACATCGAGAACAGCGTCGCCATCTGAGGGGGGACCCCAAAAAATACCCCAAAATACCCCAAAAACCACCCCAAAACCACCCAAAAAACCTAAAAAACCCCAAAAAATCCCCCCCCCAAAACCCCCAAAACCCTCCAAAAAACCTCCACAGAACCCCCCTAAAAAACCCCCAAAAAATCCCAAAAACATCCCAAAAAGTCCCCCCCAAGCCCTCCAAAAACCTCCAAAGAACCCCCAAACCCCCCAAAAAAAACCCCGAAAAAAAACCCTCCCAAAAAAACCCCAAAAAAACCCCAAAACCCTCCAAAAAACTTCCAACCCTCCCCTCCTCCCCCCCAAAAAAAACCCCAAAACACCCCTCAATATCTGAGGGGGGCTTGAGACCCCCAAAAAAACCCCAAAACCCCCCAAAAAAACCCCAACATCATTTTGGGGGTCCCAGTTGGGTCTGGGGGGAACTGAGGGGGAACTGGGAGGCTTTTTGGGGGAGACTGAGTGGGACTGGGGGCGTTTTGGGGGGGAACTGGGGGGACTGGGGGGGAACTGGGAAGGTTTGGGGGTCCCAGTTGGGTCTGGGGGCTTTGGGGGACTGGGGGAACTGGGAAGGTTTTGGGGGTCCCAGTGGGGACTGGGGGAACTGGGAGGGTTTTGGAGGCTCCCAGTTGGGTCTGGGGGCGTTTTGGGGGTCCCAGTTGGGTCTGGGGGTCCCGTGGGGACTGGGGGAACTGGGAGGGTTTTGGGGGTCCCAGTGGGGACTGGGGGGGAACTGGGAGGGTTTTGGGGGTCCCAGTTGGGTCTGGGGGCGTTTTGGGGGAACTGGGGACTGGAGGGAACTGGGAGGGTTTTGGGGGTCCCCAGTGGGGACTGGGGGGAACTGGGAGGGTTTTTGGGGTCCCAGTTGGGTCTGGGGCGTTTTGGGGGTCCCAGTTGGGACTGGGGGTCCCCGTGGGGACTGGGGGGAACTGGGAGGGAACTGGAGGGTTTTGGAGGGTCCCAGTGGGGACTGGGGGCATTTTGGGGGGACTGGGGGAACTGGGAGGGTTTTGGGGGAACTGGGGGGGACTGGGGGGAACTGGGAGGGTTTTGGGGGTCCCAGTGGGGACTGGGGGAAACTGGGAGGGCTTTTGGGGGGAACTGGGGGGACTGGGGGGGAACTGGGATGGGGGAGGAGGGGACCCTTTTGGGGGTCCTGGTGGGGCTGGGGGGGGTTGGGAGTGGTACTGGTTTGTACTGGGAGTGGTACTGGTTTGTACTGGGAGCCATTACTGATTTATACTGGGAGATCTTACTGGTCTGTACTGGGAACCATTACGGGTTTGCACTGGGAGTGTTAATGGTGTGTACTGGGAGCCATTACTGGTTTATACTGGGAGCCATTATTGGTTTATACTGGGAGCCATTACTGGTTTATACTGGGAGCTATTACTGGTGTATACTGGGAGCGTTACAGGTCTACACTGGGAGCCATTACTGGTTTATACTGGGAGCTATTACTGGTTTATACTGGGAGCCATTACGGGTCTGTACTGGGAGTGGTACTGGTGTGTACTGGGAACCATTACTGGTTTGTACTGGGAGTCATGACTGGTCTATAATGGGAGTCATTACTGGTTTGTACTGGGAGCTCTTACTGGTCTACACTGGGCGCCATGACTGGTCTATACTGGGAGCCGTTACTGGTCCGTACTGGGAGCTGTGACTGGTGTGTACTGGAGTGTTACTGGTCTGTACTGGAGTGTAACTGGTCCGTACCGGAGTGTAACTGGTCTGTACCGGAGTGTTACTGGTCTATACTGGAGTGTAACTGGTCTGTACCGGAGTGTTACTGGTCTATACTGGAGTGTTACTGGTCTGTACTGGAGTGTAACTGGTCTATACTGGAGCGTTACTGGTGTCAATAAAGGTGTCAGTGGAGCCGTGTCTGTGTCTGGGGGGAGGGGTACTGGTCATACTGGTCATACTGGTTATACTGGGTGGAGGTGGGACAGGCCCAGGGGGGTAACTGGGATGGGATTGGGATGAACTGGGATGGAACTGGGGTGGGCTGGGATGGGACTGGGGTGGAACCCAACCCCAGTGGGTGAACTGGAATGAACTAGGACGTGACTGGGAAGGCAGTTCAGCCCCAGTGGCGCAACTGGGGTGGAACTGGGATGAACTGGGATGGAACTGGGGTGGAGCCCAACCCCAGTGGGTGAACTGGGATGGACTGGGACGTGACTGGGGTGGAGCCCAACCTCAGTGGGTGAACTGGGATGGACTGGGACGTGACTGGGGTAGAGCCCAACCCCAGTGGGTGAACTGGGATGCAACTGGGATGGAACTGGGGTGAACTGGGCTGTAATTGGGGCAGAGTTCAGTCCTAGTGGTGCAACTGGGATGAACTGGGGTTAACTGGGATGGAACTGGGGTGGAGCCCAACCCCAGTGGGTGAACTGGAATGTGACTGGGATGGAACTGGGGTGGACTGGGAGGGGCCCAGCCCCAGTGGATGAACTGGAATGGAACTGGGATGTGACTGGGACGGAACTGGGGTGGAACTGGGATGGAACTGGGGTGATGTCCAGCCCCAGTGGGTGAACTGGGGCGTAACTGGGATGAACTGGGATGAACTGGGGCGTAACTGGGCCGGGGGTGGTTGAGGGAAGCAGGGGTGGAACTGGTCTTACTGGGCCAGTGGGTGAACTGGGATGGAACTGGGATGAACTGGGCTGTAATTGGGGCAGAGTTCAGCCCCAGTGGGTGAATTGGGTGAACTGGGATGGAACTGGGATGGAGCCCAACCTCAGTGGGTTAACTGGGATGAACTGGGACGTGACTGGGAAGGCAATTCAGCCCCAGTGGCGCAACTGGGATGGAACTGGGATGAACTGGGCTGTAATTGGGGTGGGGTTCAGCCCCAGTGGGTGAACTGGGTGAACTGGGATGGAACTGGGGTGAACTGGGCTGTAATTGGGGCAGAGTTCAGCCCCAGTGGGTGAACTGGGAGAACTGGGATGGAACTGGGGTGGAGCCCAACCCCAGTGGGTGAACTGGAATGTGACTGGGATGGAACTGGGGTGGACTGGGAGGGGCCCAGCCCCAGTGGGTGAACTGGAATGTGACTGGGATGGAACTGGGATGTGACCTGGAATGGAACTGGGGTGATGTCCAGCCCCAGTGGGTGAACTGGGATGGAACTGGGATGTGAACTGGGCTGGAACTGGGGTGATGTCCAGCCCCAGTGGGTGAACTGGAATGGAACTGGGATGTGACTGGGACGGAACTGGGATGGAACTGGGATGGAACTGGGGTGATGCCCAGCAACAGTGGGTGAACTGGGGTGGAACTGGGATGGAACTGGGGCGTAACTGGGCCGGGGGTGGCTGAGGGAAGCAGGGGTGGAACTGGTCTTACTGGGCCCGGTGGCGCAACTGGGGTGGGACTGGGATGGGACTGGGAGGGACTGGGAGGACCCCGAAATTCCAGGGGGGCCCAGGAGTGACCGGACCGGCTGGGGAGGGACTGGGAGGGACTGGGATGGAACTGGGCGGGACTGGGATGGAACTGGGCGGGAACTGGGAGGGACTGGGAGGGAACTGGGCGGGACTGGGATGGAACTGGGAGGGACTGGGATGGAACTGGGCGGGACTGGGATGGAACTGGGCGGGACTGGGCGGGAACTGGGAGGGAACTGGGCGGGACTGGGAACTGGGAGAGCGGCAGGAGCGCCCGGAGGGACCTTTGGAACCCCCAGGGACCCCGAGGACCCCAGAGACCCCTGAGGGACCCCCAAAGACCCCGAGGACCCCCGAGCCCCTCAAGGACCCCTGAGGGACCCCAGAGACCCCCTAGGGACCCCAAAGACCCCAGGAACCCCCGAGACCCCCAAAGACCCCGAGGGACCCCCAAGAGACCCCCGAGGGACCCCAAAGACCCCCGAGAGACCCCCAGAGACCCTCGAAGGATCCCCAGGGACCCCCAGGGACCCCGAGCCCCTCAAGGACCCCCAGGAACCCCAGGGACCCCCAAAGACCCCCGAGGGACCCCAGAGACCCCCGGAGACCCCCGGAGACCCCTGAGGGACCCCCAAGAAACGCCGGAGACCCCGAGGGACCCCAAAGACCCCCAAGGACCCCAGAATCCCCAGAGGGACCCCAAAGCCCCCGGAGCCCCACAAAGACCCCCAGGGACCCCAAAACCCCCGCAGGAGCCCATCATGGACCCCCGAGGGACCCCAAAGACCCCAGGAACCCCCAAAGACCCCCGAGGGACCCTGGAACCTCCCAGAGCCCCCGGAGTCCCCCAAACCCCCAGGGACCCCCGGAACCCCTAAAGACCCCGAGGGACCCCAAAGACCCCGAGGGACCCCCATGGACCTTCCAGAGCCCCCAAAGACCCCCGAGGGACCCCAAAGACCCCCGAGGGACCCTGGAACCCCGAAACCCCTCGGAACCCCCAGAGACCCCGAGGGACCCTCAAAACCCCAGGAGCCCCCATGGACCCTCGAGGACCCCAAAACCCCTGGGAGCCCCTCGTGCGCGGGGAGGGGCGCGGTACCAGGTGGGCGTCACGACGGGCCCGCAGTGGGGGGGGGGCACCCTGGGCACCGTCACCCTGACCCTGGTGGGCACCCTCGGCCAGAGCCCCCCCTGCCACCTCTGCTGGCCCCGGCACCCCCTGCGGCCCGGAGCGGTGAGCACTGGGGGCACTGGGGGCACTGGGAGGGACTGGGAGGGACTGGGAGCAGGTTGGGGGCACTGGGAGCAGGTTGGGGGGCACTGGGGGCGCTGGGGAGGGTTGGGGGCACTGGGAGGAGATTGGGAGGGGGTTGGGAGGCATTGGGGGAGCACTGGGAGGGATTGGGGGCACTGGGAGGCACTGGGGGATTGGGGGCGCTGGGGGCACTGGGGGCACTGGGAGCAGGTTGGGGGCACTGGGGGACACCGGGGGCAGTGGGACGGACTGGGAGAGGGTTGGGGGTTGCTAGGGGACACTGGCAGGGCACTGGGGGCACTGGGGGCACTGGGAGGGACTGAGAGGGCCCTGGGGGCACTGGGAGGGACTGGGGGCACTGGGAGGGGATTGGGGGCACTGGGGGTCACTGGGAGGGACTGGGAGGGCACTGGGGGCACTGGGAGCAGGTTGGGGGGCACTGGGGGGCACTGGGAGGGGATTGGGAGGTACTGGGAGCAGGTTGGAGGGCGCTGGGAGGGCACTGGGGAGGCACTGGGAGGAGATTGGGGGGCACTGTGAGGGCACTGGGGGCACTGGGAGCAGGTTGGGGGGCACTGGGACGGACTGGGGGCACTGGGAGGGCACTGGGAGCGGGCTGGGGTTGCTGGGGACATTGGGAGGGACTGGGAGGTGGTTGGGGGGCACTGGGAGGTGACAGGGCTGTCCCAGGGGGGTGACAGTGATGTCCCCTCGTGTCCCCAGACACCTGCCGTGTCCGGGGGGTGACAGGGGGGTGACAGGGAGGTGACAGGGCTGTGACAGGGCTGTCCCAGGGAGGTGACAGGGAGGTGACAGCGATGTCCCCGCGTGTCCCCAGACGCTGTGGGTGGAGCTGCCGTGTCCGGGGGGTGACAGGGAGGTGACAGGGAGGTGACAGGGCTGTCCCAGGAGGTGACAGGGGGGTGACAGGGCTGTCCCCTCGTGTCCCCAGACGCTGTGGGTGGAGCTGCCGTGTCCGGGGGTGACAGGAGGTGACAGGGGGTGACAGGGCTGTCCCAGGGGTGACAGGAGGTGACAGGGCTGTCCCAGGGGGTGACAGGGCTGTCCCCTCGTGTCCCCAGACGCTGTGGGTGGAGCTGCCGTGTCCGGGGGGTGACAGGGGGGTGACAGGGCTGTCCCAGGGGGGTGACAGGGCTGTCCCAGGGCTGTCCCAGTGATGTCCCCTCGTGTCCCCAGACGCTGTGGGTGGAGCTGCCGTGTCCGGGGGTGACAGGGAGGTGACAGGGAGGTGACAGGGCTGTCCCAGGGAGGTGACAGGGAGGTGACAGGGCTGTCCCCTCGTGTCCCCAGACGCTGTGGGTGGACCTGCAGTGTCCGGGGGGTGACAGGGGGGTGACAGGGGGGTGACAGGGCTGTCCCAGGGGGGTGACAGGGCTGTCCCCTCGTGTCCCCAGACGCTGTGGGTGGAGCTGCCGTGTCCGGGAGGTGACAGAGAGGTGACAGGGAGGTGACAGGGCTGTCCCCGGGGGGTGACAGGGAGGTGACAGGGGGGTGACAGGGCTGTCCCCTCGTGTCCCCAGACGCTGTGGGTGGAGCTGCCGTGTCCCCACGCCCTGGGTCCCCTCCTGCTGCTGCGGCTGCACAAGGAGCCCCTCGTGTCGCTCGTCCCCGACCGCTGGTTCTGCGCCCGCGTCACCGTCACGGGACCCCTGCGACACCGCGGGGGAGGGACACCCCACGGCCCGGGGAGGGGACACCCCACGGCCCGGGGGAGGGGACACCCCACGGCCACCTTCCACTGTCACCGCTGGCTGGAGAGCGGCGACCTGGAGATCAGGGAGGGGACAGGTACGGGGGGGGACACGCCCAAATGTGTCCCCAAATGTGTCCCCAAATGTCCCCCCAATGTCCCCCCAATGTCCCCAAATGTGTCCCCAAATGTGTCCCCAAAAAGTGTAACCAAATGTGTCCCCAGTGTCCCCTCAATGTCCCCAAATGTGTCCCCAAATGTGTCCCCAAATGAGTCCCCAAATGTGTCCCCAAATGTCCCCCCAATGTCCCCTCAGTGTCCCCAACCCCCCCAATGTCCCCAATGTCCCCAATGTCCCCAATGTCCCCAATGTCCACCCAATGTCCCCCAATGTCCCCAATGTCCACCCAATGTCCCCCAATGTCCACCCAATGTCCACCCAATGTCCCCCAATGTCCCCCCAATGTCCCCCAATGTCCACCCAATGTCCCCCAATGTCCACCCAATGTCCACCCAATGTCCCCCCAATGTCCCCAATGTCCAATCCCCAATGTCCCCAATCCCCAATGTCCCCCAATGTCCCCAATGCCCCCAATGTCCCTCCAATGTCCCCCAATGTCCCCCAATGTCCCCAATGTCCCCCAATGTCCCCAATCCCCCAATGTCCCCAATGTCCCCCCAATGTCCCCCCAATGTCCCCAATGTCCCCCCAATGTCCCCCCAATGTCCCCAATGTCCCCAATGTCCCCAATGTCCCCAATGTCCCCAATCCCCCAATGTCTCCCCCAATGTCCTCCCAATGTCCCCAATGTCCCCTAATGTCCCCCAATGTCCCCAATGTCCCCCAATGTCCCCCAATGTCCCAATGTCCCCCAATGTCCCACAATGTCCCCAATGTCTCCTAATGTCCCCTCAATGTCCCCTCAATATACCTCAATGTCCTCTCTCACATGTCCCCTCAATGTCCCCAATGTCCCCCCAATGTCCCCCCAATGTCCCCTCCCAGCCCGCACCCCCCGAGAGGCCGCTCTGGTCCCGCAGTTGCTGCAGCAGCGCCAGGAGGAGCGAAAGGAGCGACGGGAGACCTTCCAGTACGGACTGGGATGGACTGGGAGGCACTGGGAGGGGATTGGGAGGCACTGGGAGGGACTGGGAGGCACTGGGAGGGACTGGGAGGGGACTGGGAGGGACTGGGAGGAGACTGGGAGAGACTGGGAGGGACTGGGAGGGACTGGGAGGGACTGGGAGGGGACTGGGTTGGCACTGGTGGTCACTGAGTGGTCACTGGGTGGTTACTGGGGGGTCACTGGTGTCACTGGTGTCCCCCCAGGTGGGCTCCCTACGCCCCGGGGTGGTCACTGGGAGCACTGGGCAGTTACTGGTTTATCACTGGGTGGTCACTGGGAGCACTGGGCAGTTACTGGTTTATCACTGGATGGTTACTGGGAGCACTGGGGGGTCACTGGGTGGTTACTGGGAGCACTGGGGGGTCACTGGTGTCACTGGTGTCCCCCCAGGTGGGCTCCCTACGCCCCAGGGTGGTCACTAGGAGCACTGGGCAGTTACTGGTTTATCACTGGGTGGTTACTGGGAGCACTGGGGGGTCACTGGGTGGTTACTGGGGGGTCACTGGGGTCACTGGTGTCACTGGTGTCACTGGTGTCCCCCCAGGTGGGCTCCCTACGCCCCGGGGTGGTCACTGGGAGCACTGGGCAGTTACTGGTTTATCACTGGGTGGTTACTGGGAGCACTGGGTAGTTACTGGTTTATCCGTGGGCGGTTACTGGGTGGCTACTGGGGGGTCACTGGTGTCACTGGTGTCCCCCCAGGTGGGCTCCCTACGCCCCAGGGTGGTCACTAGGAGCACTGGGCAGTTACTGGTTTATCACTGGATGGTTACTGGGAGCACTGGGGGGTCACTGGTGTCACTGGTGTCCCCCCAGGTCAGCTCCCTATGCCCCAGGGTGGTTACTGGGAGCACTGGGTGGTCACTGGGTGGTCACTGGGTGGTCACTGGGAGCACTGGGGGGTCACTGGGTGGTTACTGGGAGCACTGGGGGGTCACTGGTGTCACTGGTGTCCCCCCAGGTGGGCTCCCTACGCCCCGGGGTGGTCACTGGGAGCACTGGGCAGTTACTGGTTTATCACTGGGTGGTTACTGGGAGCACTGGGCTGTTACTGGTTTGTCACTGGGCAGTTACTGGGAGCACTGGGGGGTCACTGGGTGGCTACTGGGGGGTCACTGGTGTCACTGGTGTCCCCCCAGGTGGGCTCCCTACGCCCCGGGGTGGCCACTGGGAGCACTGGGCAGTTACTGGTTTATCACTGGGTGGTTACTGGGAGCACTGGGGGGTCACTGGGTGGTCACTGGGCAGTTACTGGGGGGTCACTGGTGTCACTGGTGTCCCCCCAGGTGGGCTCCCTACGCCCCGGGGTGGTCACTGGGAGCACTGGGCAGTTACTGGTTTATCACTGGGTGGTCACTGGGAGCACTGGGTGGTCACTGGGTGGTCACTGGGCAGTTACTGGGGGGGTCACTGGTGTCACTGGTGTCCCCCCAGGTGGGCTCCCTACGCCCCGGGGTGGCCGTGGCACCTCCGGGCGCTGCCCCCCGCCCTGTGCCCGTGGCCCCGCCCACCCCCGGCCCCGACGATGACGTCACCGACGATGACGTCACCTCCGACATCGCCCCCGGCGTCACCGACGACGACGTCACCGCCGGAATCACCGACGACGTCACCGCCATCGTCACCAACGATGACGTCACCCCCAGTGACGTCATCGGGCCCCGCCCCTCAGCTGTCGCCCACCCTGAGCTTCCCCCTCGCCCACCGCGCCCAAATCGCCGCCCGCGTCGCCGCCGCGTCAGTGACCCCGCCCAAATGGGTCATTGGGGGGTCAGGGGGGGTCAATGGGGGTCAATGGGGTCAATGGGGGTCATCGGGGTCATCAGGGGTCATCAGGGGTCAACAGGAGTCAATGAGGGTCATCAGGGGTCATCAGGGGTCATCAGGGGTCATCAGGGGTCAACAGGAGTCAATGGGGGTCACTGAGGGCAATGGGTGGTCAATGGGGGGTCAGTGGGATCAATGGGGGTCAACAGGAGTCATCAGGGGTAAGCAGGGGTCAACAGGAGTCAATGGGGGTCATTGGGGGTAATGAGTGGTCAATGGGGGTCAATGGGATCATTGGGATCAACAGGAGTCATCAGGGGTCAATGGGGGTCATCAGGGGTCAGCAGGGGTCAATGGGGGTCATTGGGGGCAATGGGTGGTCAGTGGGGGGTCAATGGGATCATTGGGGTCAACAGGAGTCATCGGGGTCAATGGGGGTCAATGGAGGTCAACAGGAGTCTTCAGGAGTCAATGGGGGTCATCAGGGGTCATCAGGGGTCAATGGGGGCAGCAGGGGGGTCATTGGGGTCAATGGGGGTCAACGGGAGTCATCAGGGGTCATCGGGGTCAACAGGAGTCAATGGAGGTCATTGGGGGCTCTGGGTGGTCAATGAGGGTCATTGGGGGCACTGGGGGTCAATGGGGGTCATTGAGGGCACTGGGGGTCAATGGGGGTCATTGGGGTCAATGGGGGTCATTGGGGGTCATTAGGGGCTCTGGGTGGTCAATGAGGGTCATAGGGGGCACTGGGGGGTCAATGGGGGTCATTGGGGTCAACAGAGGTCATTGGGGTCATTGGGGGCTCTGGGTGGTCAATGAGGGTCATGGGGGGCACTGGGGGTCAATGGGGTCATTAGGGCAATGGGGGTCATTGGGGGCTCTGGGTGGTCAATGGGGGTCATTGTGGGTAATGGGGTCATTGAGGGCAATAGGGGGTCAATGGGGGTTATTGAGGGGCACTGGGGGTCAATGGGGGTCATTGGAGGTCAATGGGGGTCATTGGGGCAATGTGAGGTCAATGGGGTCAATGGGGTCATTGGGGGGTCAATGGGGGTCATTGGGGCAATGTGAGGTCAATGGGGTCAATGGGGTTCATTGGGGGTCAATGGGGGTCATTGGGGGCACTGGAGGTCAAGGGGTCATCAGGGTCAACGGGGTCAATGGAGGTCAACAGGCATCATAGGGAGTCATTGAAGGCCGCTGGGGGGTCAAGGGGGTCAATGGGGGTCAATGGAGGTCAACAGGAGTCATCAGGAGTCAATGGGGTCAACAGGGGTCATCGGGGTCAACAGGAGTCAATGGGGTCAATGGGTGGGCAATGGGGGGTCAATGGGGTCAGTGGGGGTCAACAGGAGTCTTCAGGAGTCAATGGGGGTCATCAGGGTCATTGGGGGGTCAATGGGGGCAAAGGGGGTCCAAATCCCCCAATGTCCCCTCAATGTCCCCTCAATGTCCTCAACCCCCCCAAAATGTCCCCAATGTCCCCGATGTGTCCTTAATGTCCCCAATTCCCCCAATGTCCCCCAATGTCCCCCAATGTCCCCCAATGTCCCCAATCAATGTCCCCAATGTTCCCCAATGTCCCCAATGTCCCCAATGTCCCCAATGTCCCAATGTCCCAATGTCCCCCAATGTCCCCAATGTCCCCCAATCCCCCAATGTCCCCCAATGTCCCCAATGTCCCCAATGTCCCCAATCCCAGTGTCCCCAATGTCTACCTAACTCCCAATGTCTAATGTCCCCAATCCCCCAATGTCCCCGTCAAATGTCCCCCTCCCCAATGTCCCCCAATGTCCTGCCCTAATGTCTCCTGTCCCAACCCCTAATGTCCCCAGTGTCCCAATCTCCCCCAATGTCCCCAATGTCCCCCAATGTCCCCAATGTCCCCAATGTCCCCCAATGTCCCCAATGTCCCCAATGTCCCCAATCCCCAATGTCCCCCAATGTCCCCAATGTCCCCAATGTCCCCAATGTCCCAACCCCCAATGTCCCCAACCCCCCCCGTTGTCCCCCCAGGCAGATCCGGATCCGGCTCCGGGGTCTCGGCCCAGGGGGTTCCTGGAGCAGCTTCGGGAGGTTCAGGAGGCGCTCGGGGTCCGGGACCCCCATCAGTGGTGAGCCCCTCCCCACCCGGGGGGACACGAGGGGCCGGGGGTCCCAGGAGTTTTGAGGGGGTTCCAGGAGTTTTGGGGGCGGTCCCAGGAGTTTTGGGGATCCCAGGACTTTGGGGGTCCCAAGGAGGACTTGGGAGGAGGGGGTGTCCCAGGAGTTTGGGGGGTCCCAGGAAGGGACATGGGGGGTTCCCAGAAGTTTGAGGGGGTCCCAGGAGTTTTGGGGGTCCCAAAAGTTTTGGGGGTTCCAGGACTTTGGGGGATCTAGGACTTTGGGGGTCCCAAGGAGGGACATGGGGGAGGAGGGGTTCCCAGGAGTTTGGGGGGTTCCAGGGTTTTGGGGGTCCCAGGAATTTTGGGGGTCTCAGGAGTTTGAGGGGTTCCAGGAGGTTTTGGGGGGTGTCCCAGTGGGTGAGGGGTTCCAGGAGTTTGGGGGATCCCAGGAGTTGAGGGTCCCAGGAGCCTTTGGGGGTCCCAGGAGGTTTGGGGGTTCCAGGACTTTGGGGGTGTCCTAGGAGGAGTTCCCCATGGGGGTGACCCCCTATTTTGCTCCCAGAGTATGTGGTGCGGCACTGGCAGGAGGACGCGTTTTGGGGGGTCTGGAGGGGTCTCCATGGTCTGAGCCCCTATTTGGTCCCCAGAGTACATGGTGCGGCACTGGCAGGAGGGTCGCAGGTTTTGGGGTTCAGGTTTTGGGGGGTCCAGGAGGAGTCTCTGGGGGTCATGACGCCCCTGAGTTTCGGTCCCAGAGTGCGTGGGTGCCAGGCACTGGCAGGAGGACGCGGGTTTTGGGGGAGTCTTGGGGGTCTGGGGGTCTCAGCTGAGGTGACCCGTGTTTGCCCCAGGAGTACGTGGTGCAGCACTGGCAGGAGGACGCCGGTTTTGGGGGTGTCTTTAAGGGGGTCTGGGGGGTTCTCAGTGGTGCTGAACCCCTGTTTTGCCCCCCAGAGTACGTGGTGCGGCACTGGCAGGAGGACGCGTTTTTGGGGTGTTTTTGGGGGGTCTGGGGGGGTCTCTCCATGGCTGTAACCCCCCTATTTTCCCCCCCAGAGTACGTGGTGCGGCACTGGCAGGAGGACGCGTTTTTCGGGGAGCAGTTCCTGAGCGGGGTGAACCCCGTCCTGCTGCACCGCTGCCCCCGCCTGCCCCCCAACTTCCCCGTCACCCCCCGCATGGTGGAGCCCGCCCTCGGCCCCCACACCTCCCTCCAGGCCGAGATGGAGGTAGGGGCACCCCAAAAACCCTTCAGGGAACCCCAAAAACCCTGGGGAAACCCAAAAATGCTTTAGGGAACCCCAAAAACCCTTCAGGGAACCCCCAGAACCTTCAGGGACCCCAAACCTTTAGGGAACCCCAAAAACTCTTCAGGGAACCCCAAAAACTCTTCAGGGAACCCCAAAAACCTTTAGGGAACCACAAAAACCCTTCAGGGAACCCCCAGGACCTTCAGGGAACCCAAAAATCCTTTAGGGAATCGCAAAATCTGCAGGGAACCCCCAGAACCTTCAGAACATCCCAAAAACTTTCAGAGCACCCCAAAAACCCTTTAGGGAACCCCAAAACTTGTAGGGAATCCCCAGAACCTGCAGGGACCACAAAAACCCTTCAGGGAACCCAAAAACATGCAGGGAACCCCCAGAACCTTCAGGGAACCCCGAAACCCCTTTAGGGAACCACAAAAACCCTTCAGGGAACCCAAAAATCCTTCAGAGCACCCCAAAATCCTTTAGAGAACCCAAAAACTCTTCAGGGAACTCAAAAAACTTTCAGAGCACCCCAAAAACCTGCAGGGAATTCCAAAACCTGCAGAGAACCCCGAAAACCCTTTAGGGAACCCCCAGAACCTTCAGGGACCCCAAAAACCCTTCATGGGACTCCAAAATATTCAGAGCACCTCAAAAACATCCAGGGGGACCCCCAGAACCTTCGGGGAACCCCCAGAACTTTCAGGGAACCCCAAAAACCTTTAGGGAACCCCAAAACCTCCAGGGTACCCCAAAAACATTCAGAACACCCCAAAAACCTTCAGGGCACCCCCCAGAACCTTCGGGAAATCCCAAATCCTTCAGAGCACCCCAAAATGTTCAGGGGGACCCCAAAACCTGCAGGGGAACCCCCAAAAATCTTCAGAGCACCCCAAAACATTCAGGGGCACCCCAAGAACCTTCAGAGCACCCCAAAAACATCCAAGGGGACCCCAAAATGTGGGGGGGGGACCCCGGGATTTGGGGGGGGGTCGTTACTTAATTTTTGTTGGGGGGGGAGTCGCACAGGGGGGTAAATTTTGGGACTTCCACGCGAGGCTCTGGGGGTTAATTAATATTAATTAATTAATTAATATTAATTAATTAATATTTATTTTGGATAGGGCCGGGGGTCGTGCAGGGGGGTAAATTTTAGGACCTCCCCCCACGTAGATCTGGGGGTTAATTAATTAATTTTTGGGTAGGGGGGGTCACGCAGGGGGGTAAATTTTGGGGCTCCCCCCCGCGAGACCCTGGGGGTTAATTAATATTAATTCATTAATGAATTAATATTAATTAATTAATATTTCTGGGGGTTAATTAATATTAATTCATTAATTAATTAATATTAATTAATTAATATTTCTTGGGGGGTCGCGCAGGGGGGTAAATTTTGGGACCCCCCGAGGCTCTGGGGGTTAATTAATTATTTTTATTTTGGGTAGGGGGGGTCGCGCAGGGGGGTAAATTTGGGACCCCCGCGTGGCTCTGGGGATTAATTAATTAATTAATTTTGGGGGGGGGGTGTCCACGCAGGGGGGCCGCGTGTTCTTGGCCGACTACGCCCTCCTGGAGGGGCTCCCCACGGGCAGCATCGGGGGGGAACCGCAGTTCGCGGCAGCGCCGCTCTGCCTGCTCTGGCTCAGCCCCCGCGGGCTCCTCCTGCCCGTGGCCATTCAGGTACCCACACCCCCCCCGGGACACGGGGACACCCCCACGGGACCCCTACGGGACCCCCACAGTGTCCCTCAAACCACCCCCCGTGTCCCTCCTGTCCTGCTCTGGCTCAGCCCCCCCCCGCGGGCACCTCCTGCCCGTGGCCATTCAGGTACCCCCCCCGGGACACCCCCACGCCACGGGGACACCCCCACGGGACACCCACAATGTCCCCGTGTCCCCCCCGTGTCCCTCCTGTCCTGCTCTGGCTCAGCCCCCCCCGCGGGCACCTCCTGCCCGTGGCCATTCAGGTACCCCCGTGACACCCCCCCACGGGACACCCACAGGACACCCACAGTGTCCCCTCAAGCCCCCCGTGTCCCCCTGTCCTGCTCTGGCTCAGCCCCCGCAGGCACCTCCTGCCCGTGGCCATTCAGGTAACCCCCCTCGTGACACCCCCACGTCACGGGGACACCCCCACGGGACACCCACAATGTCCCCCCACCGTGTCCCTCCTGTCCTGCTCTGGGCTCAGCCCCCACGGGCACCTCCTGCCCGTGGCCATTCAGGTAACCCCCCCGTGACACGGGGACACACCCACGGGACACCCACGGGACACCCACAGTGTCCCTCAAACCCCCGTGTCCCTCCTGTCCTGCTCTGGCTCAGCCCCCCGCAGGCACCTCCTGCCCGTGGCCATTCAGGTACCCACCCCCGTGACACGGGGACACCCCCACGGGACACCCACGGGACACCCACAATGTCCCCGTGTCCCCCGTGTCACCCCGTGTCCCTTAGGGTCCCCCCGTGTCCCTCCTGTCCTGCTCTGGCTCAGCCCCCGCAGGCACCTCCTGCCCGTGGCCATTCAGGTACCCACACCCCCGTGACATCCCCACGCCACGGGGACACCCCAGGACACCCCACAGGACCCCCACGGACACCCACAATGTCCCCCCGTGTCCCTCCTGTCCTGCTCTGGCTCCGGCCCCCGCGAGGCTCCTCCTGCCCGTGGTCATTCAGGTAACCCCCGTGACACACCCACGGGACACCCACAGTGTCCCTCAAACCCACCGATGTCCTCCCCGTGTCCTCCTGTCCTGCTCTGGCTCAGCCCCCGCGGGTCTACCTCCTGCCCGTGGCCATTCAGGTACCCACACCCCCCCGGACATCCCACGTCACGGGACACCCCACGGGACCCCCCACAGGACACCCACAGGACACCACAATGTCCCCGTGTCCCCCGTATCCCTCAAACCCCCGTGTCCCTTTGGGGTACTCCCCCGTGTCCCTCAAGCCCCCGTGTCCCCCGTGTCCCCTTGTCCTCATATCCCCACGGGGACCTCCTGAGACACCCACGGGACGCCCACAGTGTCCCCGTGTCCCCCCCGTGTCCCTCTGGGGTCCCCCGTGTCCTTTGGGATCCCTCCGTGTCCCCCCTGTGTCCCTTTGGGGTCCCCCGTGTCCTTTGGGATCCCTCCCGTGTCCCCCCGTGTCCCTTTGGGGTCCCCTCGTGTCCCTTTGGGATCCCTCCCGTGTCCCCCCGTGTCCCTTTGGGGTCCCCCCTGTGTCCCTCAAACCCCTCGTGTCCTTGTCCTTCATTCTCCCCTGGGACACCCACGGGACCCCACAATGTCCCCGTGTCCCCCGTGTCCCTCCCCGTGTCCCTCAAACCCCCGTGTCCCCCGGTGTCCCTCAAGCCCCCTGTGTCCCCCTCGTGTCCCCCACGACCCTGAATGTCCCCAAATGTCCCCAAACCCCCTTTTGGCCCCCTCCCGTGTCCCCTGAGATGTCCCCAAAGTGTCCCCCAACCCCCTGTGACCCTTCCCGTGTCCCCACGACCTGAATGTCCCCAAAGTGTCCCCAAGGTGTCCCCAAACCCCTTTTGACCCCTCCCCACGACCCTGAATGTCCCTAAAGTGTCCCTAAACCCTTTTGACCCCTCCCGTGTCCTGAATGTCCCCAAGGTGTCCCAAGATGTCCCCAGGGTGTCCCCAACCCCCTGTGACCCTTCCCGTGTCCCCCGACCCTGAATGTCCCCAGGGTGTCCCCAACCCCCCCGTGACCCTTCCCGTGTCCCCCACGACCCTGAATGTCCCCAAAGTGTCCCCAACCCCTTTTGACCCCTCCCTTGTCCCTGAATGTCCCCAAAGTGTCCCCAAGGTGTCCCCAGGGTGTCCCCAAACCCCCTTTTGACCCCTCCCTTGTCCCTGAATGTCCCCAAAGTGTCCCCAACCCCCCTGACTGTCCCCTTTGTGTCCCCCCATGACCCTGAATGTCCCAAGGTGTCCCCAAAACCCCCTGTGACCCTTCCCGTGTCCCCCCTGACCCTGAATGTCCCCAAGGTGTCCCCAGGTGTCCCAAACCCCTTTGACCCCTCCCTTGTCCCTGAATGTCCCCAAAGTGTCCCAAGGTGTCCCCAAACCCCTTTTGACCCTCCTCCCTTGTCCCTGAATGTCCCCAAAGTGTCCCCAAAGTGTCCCCAAACCCCCTTTTGACCCCTCCCCGTGTCCCTGAATGTCCCCAAGGTGTCCCCAAGGTGTCCCCAAACCCCCTTTTGACCCTCCCCTTGTCCCTGAATGTCCCCAAAAGTGTCCCCAGGGTGTCCCCAAACCCCATTTTGACTCCTCCCCCACCCAGGTGTCCCCAACCCCCTTTTGATCCCCCGACCCTGAATGTCCCCAAGGTGTCCCCAAGAGTGTCCCCAACCCCTCTTGACCCCCTCCCCGTGACCCCTGAATGTCCCCAAAGTGTCCTCCAACCCCCTGACTGTCCCCTTTGTGTCCCCCCTCGACCCTGAATGTCCCCAAAAGTGTCCCCAACCCCCTGACCGTCCCTTTGTGTCCCCAAACCCTGAATGTCCCCAAAGTGTCCCCAACCCCTGACTGTCCCTTTGTGTCCCCCCGCAGCTGTCGCAGCGCCCCGGGCGGGGTCCCTGAGCCCCCCAACCCCTGAATGTCCCTGCAAGGTGTCCCCAACCCTGACCGTCCCTTTGTGTCCCCCTTGTCCTGAATGTCCCCAGGGTGTCCCCAAACCCCCGTGACCCTTCCCGGTGTCCCCCAAGCCCTGAATGTCCCCAGGGTGATCCCTGAGGTGTCCCCAGGGTGTCCCCAGGGTGTCCCCTAACCCCCCCGTGACCCTTCCCGTGTCCCCCCAACCCTGAATGTCCCCAAAGTGTCCCCAAACCCCCCGTGACCCTTCCTGTGTCCCCCACGACCCTGAATGTCCCCAAGGTGTCCCCAAGTTGTCCCCAAACCCCTTTTGAGCCCCTCCCCGACCCCTGAATGTCCCTAAAGGTGTCCCCAGGGTGTCCCCAAACCCCCTTTTGACCCCTCCCTTGTCCCTGAATGTCCCCAAGGTGTCCCCAACCCCCTGACCGTCCCCTTTGTGTCCCCCCACAGCTGTCGCAGCGCCCCGGGCAGGGTCCCCGATTTTCACGCCGGGGTCCCACGTGAGCCCTGGCCAAGCTGTGGGTGCGGGGCTCGCATTTCCTGCTGCACGAGATGGTCACGCACCTCCTGCACGCTCATTTCCTGCCCGAGGCCTTCAGCCGTGGCCACCCACAGGCTGCCCGGGGCACACCCCGTGCACCAGGTGAGCCCAGAAACGACCCCCACCCCGAAAAACCCCACCCGAAAAACAAAAACCCACCCTGAAAAACCCCACCCCAAAAACCCCACCCCCAAAACTCGTCCCTAAAACACCCCCAAACCTCAGCCCCCCAAGCCCCACCCGTGCACCAGGTGAGCCCAGAAACGACCCCCAAAAACCCCACCCGAAAAATCCCCACCCTGAAAAACCCCACCCTGAAAAGCCCCACCTAAAAAGCCCCACCCTAAAAGCCCACCCAAAAACCCCACCCTGAAAAACCCCACCCCGAAAAAAGCAGCCCTGAAAAACCTGACCCTAAAACCCCACCCTAAAACAGACCCCAAAACAACCCCAAACCCCACCCCGTGCACCAGGTAACCCCAGAAACGGACCCCACCCCGAAAAACCCCACCCCGAAAACCCCGCCCCAGAAAGACAACCCTGAAAAAACCAACTCCTGAAAAACCACCTGACTCCCAAAACACGTCCTAAACCAGACCCATAAAACAGCCCCCAAACTTCAGTCTGTCCATCCCCCACCTCCGTGCACCAGGTGACCCCAGAAACGACCCCCCACCCGAAACACGACCCCGAAAAACCCCACCCTGAAACCCACCGAAAAGCCCTACCCCAAAAACCCACCCGAAAAACCCCACCCCAAAAGCCCACCCCAAAAAGCCCACTGGAAAAAAGCCCTAAAAACCTGACCCCAAAACAGCCCCCAAACCCCACCCCGTGCACCAGGTGACCCAGAACGACCCCCACCCGAAAAACCCACCCAAAAACCCCGCCCCAAAAAACCCCACCCCAAAAGCCCCACCCCAAAAACCCGCACCCCAAAAACCCTCACCCTAAAAACACAACCCCAAAAGAGACCCAAAGCCCCCAAACCTCAGCCTGCCCATCCCCACCCGTGCACAGGTGACCCCAAAGTGCCCCCAAGACACCCCACCCCAAAAGCCCCAGCCCAAAGGGCCCAAGAACCCACCCCAAATCCCCAATGTCCCCAATGTCCCCCAATCCCCAATGTCCCCCAATGTCCCCAATGTCCCCAATGTCCCCCAATGTCCCCAATGTCCCCAATGTCCCCAATGTCCCCCAATGTCCCCCCAATGTCCCCCAATCCCCAATGTCCCCTCAATGTCCCCTCAATGCCCCAATGTCCCCCAATGTCCCCAATGTCTGCCTTGATACAGTAGTCCCTAATGTCCCCCCAGTCTAATGTCCCCAATGTCCCCAATCCCCAATGTCACCAGTGTCCCCAATCCCCCCAATGTGCCCCAATGTCTGCGTGTCCCTATGTGTCCCCAATGCCCCAATGTCCCCATATGTCCCACGTAATGCACAGCCCCAATGTCCCCAACGTCCCCCAATGTCCCCAATGTCAACCCCCAATGTCACATGTCCCCAATGTCCCCAATGTCCCCCCAATGTCCCCAATGTCCCCCCAGCTGCTCCTCCCCCATCTCCGCTTCACTTTCCACATCAACATCCTGGCCCGGGAGTCGCTGCTCAACCCCGGCGGCATCATCGACCAGGTCTGCTGGCCCCAACTGTCCCCAAGTGTCCCCTCAATGTCCCCTCAATGTCCCCTGGGTGTCCCCAATGTCCACAACTGTCCCCAGCTGTCCCCAATGTCCCCAACTGTTCCCAACTGTCCCCAGCTGTCCCCTGGTGTCCCCTGGGTGTCCCCAACTGTCCTCTGATGTCTACAACTGTCCTCTGGTGTCTCCAACTGTCCCCAACTGTCCCCAGCTGTCTCCAACTGTCCCCTGGGTGTCCCCAACTGTCCCCCCAATGTCCCCTGGGTGTCCCCAACTGTCCCCAGCTGTCTCCAACTGTCCCCTGGGTGTCCCCAACTGTCCCCAACTGTCCCCAGCTGTCCCCAGCTGTCCCCAACTGTCCCCAGCTGTCTCCAACTGTCCCCTGGGTGTCCCCAACTGTCCCCCCAATGTCCCCTGGGTGTCCCCAACTGTCCCCTGCTGTCCCCAACTGTCCCCTGCTGTCCCCTGGTGTCCCCTGGGTGTCCCCAAGTGTCCCCCCAATGTCCCCTGGGTGTCCCCAATGTCCCCAGCTGTCCCTTGGGTGTCCCCAACTGTCCCCTGGTGTCCCTCGGGGTCCCCCAATGTCCCCAACTGTCCCCAGCTTTCCCCAACTGTCCCCAGCTGTCCTCTGGTGTCCCCTGGGTGTCCCCTGGTGTCCCCTGCTGTCCCCAGCTGTCCCCAATGTCCCCAGCTGTCCCCAGCTGTCCCCAACTGTCCCCAACTGTCCCCTCAGTGTCCCCAGCTGTCCCCAACTGTCCCCAACTGTCCCCAGCTGTCCCCTGATGTCCCCAGTTGTCCCCTGATGTCCCCAACTGTCCCCAGGTGTCCCCTGCTGTCCCCTGGGTGTCCTCAGCTGTCCCCAACTGTCCCCTGCTGTCCCCTGGGGTCACCTGGTCCATGGGGCGGGAGGGGACGCTGGCCCTGCTGGCACCCAGGGGACACTCAGGGGGTTTTTGGGGACACTCAGGGGGTTTTTGGTGACACTGAGAGGGTTTTGGTGTCCCCAGGCCACGTCCATCAGGTGGGAGGGGACACTGAGGGGGTTGGTGACACTGAGGGGGTGTTGGTGACACCCAGGGGACACTCAGGGGGTTTTTGGGGACACTGAGGGAGTTTTAGTGACACTCAGGGGATTGTTGGGGACACTCAGGTAACACTCAGGGGGTTTTTGGGGACACTGAGGGGGTTGTTGGTGTCCCCAGGCCATGTCCATCGGGTGGGAGGGGACACTGAGGGGGTTGGTGACACTGAGGGGGTTCGTGACACTGAGGGGGTGTTGGTGACATCCAGGGGACACTGAGGGGTTTTGTCACTGTCCCCAGGCCACATCCATCGGGCGGGAGGGCACCCTGGCCCTGGTGGCCTGGGGGACACTGAGGGTGTTTTTGGTGACACTGAGGGTGTTGGTGACACTCAGGTGACACTGAGGGGTTTTTGGTGACACTGAGGGGGTTTTTGGTGTCCCCAGGCCACGTCCATCGGGCGGGAGGGCACCCTGGCCCTGGTGACACCCAGGTGACACTGAGGGTGTTTTTGGTGACACTGAGGGTGTTGGTGACACTGAGGGTGTTGGTGACACCCAGGTGACACTGAGGGGTTGTGTCACTGTCCCCAGGCCACGTCCATCGGGCGGGAGGGCACCCTGGCCCTGGTGACACTCAGGTGACACTGAGGGTGTTGGTGACACTCAGGTGACACCAGGAGGGTTTTTGGTGTCCCCAGGCCACGTCCATCGGGCGGGAGGGCACCCTGGCCCTGGTGGCCCGGGGGACACTGAGGGTGTTTTTGGTGACACTGAGGGGGTTTTTGGTGACACCAGGGGTGTTTTTGGTGTCCCCAGGCCACGTCCATCGGGCGGGAGGGCACGCTGGCCCTGGTGGCCCGGGGGACACTGAGGGTGTTGGTGACACCCAGGGGGTGTTGGTGACACTCAGGTGACACTGAGGGGTGTGTCACTGTCCCCAGGCCATGTCCATCGGGCGGGAGGGCACCCTGGCCCTGGTGGCCCGGGGGACACTGAGGGTGTTGGTGACACCCAGGGGGTTGTTGGTGACACTCAGGTGACACTGAGGGGTGTGTCACTGTCCCCAGGCCACGTCCATCGGGCGGGAGGGCACCCTGGCCCTGGTGGCCCGGGGGATGTCGTCCCTGTCCTACGCCGAGCTCTGCGTCCCCGATGACCTCGAGCGCCGCGGGGTCACCGACCTGCCCGGATACCACTACGGGGACGACGCCCGCGACATCTGGGGGGCCATCCACAGGTGGGGGGACATTGGGGACAGCTGGGGACACCTGGGGGGACATCCACAGGTGGGGACAGCTGGGGACAGCTGGGGGGCCATCCACAGGTGGGGACACCTGGGGACAGCTGGGGGGCCATCCACAGGTGGGGACACCGGGGGACAGCTGGGGGCCATCCACAGGTGGGGACACCTGGGGGACAGCTGGGGGGCCATCCACAGGTGGGGACACCTGGGGACACCTGGGGACATCTGGGGGGACATCCACAGGTGGGGACACCTGGGGACAGATGGGGGGACATCCACAGGTGGGGACACCTGGGGGGACACCTGGGGACATTGGGGACAGCTGGGGACACCTGGGGGGCCATCCACAGGTGGGGGGACAGCTGGGGACATTGGGGACATCTGGGGGACCATCCAGAGGTGGGGACACCTGGGGGGACAGCTGGGGACAGCTGGGGACATTGGGGACATCTGGGGGGCCATCCAGAGGTGGGGACACCTGGGGGGACAGCTGGGGACATTGGGGACAGCTGGGGACAACTGGGGGGCCACCCACAGGTGGGGACAGCTGGGGGACAGTTGGGGACATTGGGGACACCTGGGGACAGCTAGGCCATCCAGGTGGGGACACCTGGGGCCACTCACAGGTGGGGACAGCTGGGGGGACAGCTGGGGACATCTGGGGGACATTGGGGAGACCCTAGGGACATCTGGGGGGCCATCCACAGGTGGGGACACCTGGGGACATTTGGGGACATTGGGGACACCCTGGGGAGGGTGGGGGGCCATCCACAGGTGGGGACAGCTGGGGGGACATTGGGGACACCCTGGGGACATCTGGGGACATCTGGGGGGCCATCCACAGGTGGGGACACCTGGGGGGACATTGGGGACACCTGGGGACATCTGGGGGACCATCCACAGGTGGGGACACCTGGGGACAACTGGGGACATTGGGGACAGCTGGGGACATTGGGGACAGCTGGGGACATCTGGGGGGACATCCACAAGTGGGGACAGCTGGGGGGACATTGGGGACACCCTGGGGACAGCTGGGGACACCTGGGGGGACAGCTGGGGGGACATCCACAGGTGGGGACAGCTGGGGACACCTGGGGACATTTGGGGACATTGGGGACACCTGGGGGGACAGTTGGGGACAGCTGGGGGGCCATCCACAGGTGGGGACACCTGGGGACAGGTGGGGACATTGGGGACAGCTGGGGACACTGGGGACACCTGGGGACATCTGGGGGGACATCCACAGGTGGGGACACCCTGGGGACAGCTGGGGACACCTGGGGACAGCTGGGGACATTGGGGACACCCTGGGGACATTGGGGACAGCTGGGGGGACATCTGGGGGCCATCCACAGGTGGGGGGACATCTGGGGACACCTGGGGACATCTGGGGGGCCATCCACAGGTGGGGACACCTGGGGGGACAGCTGGGGACATTGGGGACAGCTGGGGACACCTGGGGACATCTGGGGGGCCATCCACAGGTGGGGGGACACCTGGGGACATTGGGGACAGCTGGGGACAGCTGGGGACAATGGGGACAATGGGGACAATGGGATGGGGACAATGGGGACATGGAAATGGGGACAATGGGGACAATGGGGACAATGGGATGGGGACAATGGGGACAATGGGATGGGTGGGGACAATGGGATGGGGACAGTGGGATGGATGGGGACAATGGGGACAATGGGATGGGGACAATGGAGACAATGGGGACAATGGGGACAATTGGGGACAATGGGGACAATGGGGACAATGGGGACAATGAGATGAGGACAATGGGGACAATGGGATGGGGACAATGGGGACAATGGGATGGATGGGGACAATGGGGACAATGGGGACAATGGGGACAATGGGGACAGTGGGATGGGGACAGTGGGGACAATGGGGACAATGGGGACAATGGGATGGGGACAATGGGGACAATGGGATGGGGACAATGGGGACAATGGGGACAATGGGGACAATGGGGACACCGGGGTTGGCTGGGGGGGGAGGTGACAGAGTGACACCCCCCCCCGTGTCCCCCCAGCTACGTGGAGGGCATCATGGGGACAATGGGATGGATGGGGACAATGGGGACAATGGGGACAATGGGATGGATGGGGACAATGGGGACAATGGGGGGGGGAGGTGACAGAGTGACACCCATTGGTGTCCCCCCCCCCTGTCCCCCAGCTACGTGGAGGGCATCGTGGGGCTCTTCTACGGCGGGGACGGGGACGTGGCCGAGGACCCCGAGCTGCAGGACTGGGTGGGAGAGATCTTCACCTACGGCGTGCTGGGGAACCCCAAAACTGGTACAGAGGGGGGCTGGGGGGCTGGGGAACCCCAAAACTGGTGAGGGGGAGATGGGGGACCCCAAAACTGGTGAGGGGAGATGGGGAACCCCAAAAGTGGTGAGGGGGATTGGGGCTGGGAACCCCAAAACTGGTATGGGGGATTGGGGGACACAGGGGGCTGGGGAACCCCAAAACTGGTGAGAGGGGATTGGGAACCCCAAAACCGGTACGGGGACACAGGGGGGGCTGGGGAACCCCAAAACTGGGATGGGGGAGATGGGGAACCCCAAAACTGGTGAGGGGGAGATGGGGGGCTGGGGAACCCCAAACTGGTGAGGGGGCTGGGGGCTGGGGAACCCAAAACCGGTATGGGGGATGGGAACCCCAAAACTGGTACAGGGGGATTGGGGGCTGGGGAACCCCAAAACTGGTGAGGGGGGATGGGGAACCCCAAAACTGGGATGGGGAACCCCAAAACTGGTGAGGGGGGCTGGGGAACCCCAAAACTGGGATGGGGGCATGGGGGACGGGAACCCCAAAACTGGTACGGGGGGACAGGGGACACAGGGGGGGATGGGGAGCCCCAAAACTGGTATGGGGGGCTGGGGAACACCAAAACTGGAATGGGGGATGGGGGATGGGGAACCCCAAAACCGGTACGGGGGGATAGGGGGGCCTGGGGAAACCCCAAAACTGGGATGGAGGGACAGGGGGTGGGTCAGGGGTGGCCCCAGGGTGGACACCGTAGTGGTCACACCATGGTGGTCACCACAGTGGTCACACCGTGATGGTCACCACGATGGTCACACCATGTGATGGTCACCACGATGGTCACACCATGATGGTCACCACAGTGGTCACACCATGATGGTCACACCATGATGGTCACACCATGGGGATGGTCACTATGATGGTCACACCATGGTGGTCACACCATGATGGTCACCATGATGGTCACTACAGTGGTCACACCATGATGGTCACTATGATGGTCACTACGATGGTCACACCATGATGGTCACCACAGTGGTCACACCATGGTGATGGTCACTATGATGGTCACACCATGGTCATGGTCACCACAGTGGTCACACCATGTGATGGTCACTATGATGGTCACTATGATGGTCACACCATGATGGTCACACCATGATGGTCACACCATGATGGTCACCACAGTGGTCACACCATGGTGATGGTCACTATGATGGTCACTATGATGGTCACACCATGTGATGGTCACCACAGTGGTCACACCATGATGGTCACACCATGGTGATGGTCACCACAGTGGTCACACCATGATGGTCACACCATGGGGATGGTCACTACAATGGTCACACCATGATGGTCACTATGATGGTCACACCATGATGGTCACCACAGTGGTCACACCATGATGGTCACACCATGGTGATGGTCACCACAGTGGTCATACCATGTGATGGTCACTACAATGGTCACACCATGATGGTCACCATGATGGTCACCACAGTGGTCACACCATGATGGTCACACCATGATGATGGTCACCACAGCGGTCACTCCATGGTCATGGTCACCACAGTGGTCACACCATGATGGTCACCACGATGGTCACACTGTGATGGTCACACCATGGGAATGGTCACTCCATGATGGTCACCACAATGGTCACCACAGTGGTCACTCCATGTGATGGTCACCACAATGGTCACACCGTGGGGTGTTTTGGGGTCACGACCCTTTGGTGACCCCTCCCCCGACCCCCCCCAGGTTTCCCGTCCCGGCTCCGCAGCCGCGCCGAGCTCGTCAAGTTCCTGACCATGATCATCTTCTGCTGCTCTGCCCGGCATGCTGCCGTCAACAGCGGCCAGGTGGGACCCAAAACACCCAAAAACACCCTAAAATACCTCAAAAACACCCTAAAATACCTCAAAAACACCCTAAAATACCCCAAAATACCCCAAAACCACCCCACCCACCGACCATGATCATCTTCTGCTGCTCTGCCCGGCATGCTGCCGTCAACAGCGGGCAGGTGGGACCCAAAACACCCCAAAACACCCCAAAATACCTAAAAAACACCCTAAAACACCCCAAAATACCCCAAAACCACCCCAAAATACCCCACCCACTGACCATGATCATCTTCTGCTGCTCTGCCCGGCATGCTGCTGTCAACAGCGGCCAGGTGGGACCCCAAAACACCCCAAAATACCAAAAAATCACCCAAAAATACCTCAAAATACCTCAAAACCACCCCAAAACCACTCCAAAACCACTCCAAAACACCCCAAAATACCCCAAAACCACCCCAAAATACCTCAAAACCACCCCAAAACCACTCCAAAACCAACCCAAAACACCCCATAAATAACCCAGAAATCCCAGATACCCCAGAAACACCCCAGAGACCCCACAGAGACCCCAAAGAAATCCCAGAGGCCCCAAAGAGGATTTTTTTGGGGTCCCCAAACCCCCCCTTTGAAGAGGTTTTGGGGGGTTTGGGGGGGTTTTGGGGTCCCCAACCCCTCCCTTAGAGGATTTTTTGGGGTCTCCAAATCCCCCCTTTGAAGAGGTTTTGGGGGGTTTTGAGGAGGTTTTGGGGTCCCCCAACCCCCCCTACCCTTGGAGGATTTTTTGGGGTCCCCAACCCCCTGGATGATTTTTGGGGTCCC